ATCACACACTGAAAGTGGTGACCATTCTGCGACTGAGCTCAGTGATGTGCGAACTTGGTGCTCTATTGACTGTGGTACGGATCAGGCAGCGCCCCCAAGATTCCCATTTACTGGAGCATCTGGTATGAAAGTAGACGTTGAACACGACAACCTCTTGGCATACTTACAATTATTTCTGACCGATGAGGTTATTGAAAAAATAGTTACTGAGACAAACCGGGTACCAAGAGCAACAATTGGCTACTCTGCATCGAAGTTTCCAAGAAGCAGAAAGTGGGAACCAGTGACCAAAGATGACATTTGGAAATTTCTGGGCCTAATAATACTTCAGGGAGTGGTGGGGAAACCCCTGCAGAAGTGGTATTGGACAACTAATAAATGACTTGCCACTCCATTCTTTGGCACGGTCATGTCAGAGTACAGATTTTCCCTGATCATGAAATTTTTAACACTTCGAAAAAACAACAAAGAATTTGATGAAACTACTCATCCTGCACCAAAACTAAAGAAAATTTGGGAAGTATCTCAAATGATTCTAAAGAATTTCCAATGGAGCTATGTGCCAGAAAGAGATATCAGCATAGATGAAAGTCTAATGGCCTACAAGGGAAGGCTCAGCTGGGTACAATACATTGCATCAAAGAGCACGATTTGGTGTAAAATCCTACATGCTATGCGAATCGTCAACTGGCTACATTTGGAATTCAGTCATATACACTGGAAAAGGAACAAAATTCAATCCAAAATACAGCAACTATGGAATGGCAACATCTTCTGTTCTTTCACTCATTGATCCATTGCTAAATCAGGGCTATTGCGTAACAACCGACAACTTTTATACGTCTCCTGAACTTTATGAGTTTCTTCTGCAAAACAAAACAGATGCCTATGGAACCGTTAGGGCTAACCGGTGCGACATGCCGCCAATGTTTGGCAATAAGAAGCTGAAGACTGGAGAAATGGTTGCCTGGCAGAAAGGCAAAAATGATGGCACTGCGATGGCGGGACAAGAAAGATGTGTGCCTAATGAGTACAATTCATAATACCTCCACTGTTATGGTACGCACAAAAGGTGGGAAAGAAATCATGAAGCCACAAGTAGTGATAGACTACAATAACACCATGGGAGGTGTCGACAGAGCCGACCAAGCAATGACATACTACCCAGCAATGAGGAAACAGCAAAACAAGTACTACAAGAAGATCTTCAGGCATCTTCTTGAGCAATGCTTGTGGAATGCCTACATTCTGCTAAAAAAAAAAAAAAAGTGACAAGCCTGTGATTCATTCTGACTTCATTTGGAAAGTTGCCAAACGTATCTTTGTGAACCACCAAACACCATCAATGGCTGTGAATAGAGCTAGACGTGCTGTTGGCGTTGTCAACCCGGAACGCCTGACTGGTCGTCACTTCATGGACTACATCCCACCAACCGAGAAAAAGTCAGCACCTACAAGGATGTGCGTGGTTTGTTGCTTGAAGAAGCGAGATGACAGTGGAAAGAAAATCAGAAAGGAAACCAGGTTCCATTGTCCTGATTGTGACGTCAGACTTTGTGCAGTCCCATGTTTCAAAATGTTTCATACCCGGGATGTTTACTAAACCAATATGCAGTGTCTAGTAATATTGCCCCCTTGTTTGGACAAATGTCAGTGCTTTTGGTTTGATTACATTATTGAATTAAATGTATTTATTTTATTATTTTTTTATAATTATTTATTATATTATATATTTATGATTTTGTGTTTCAAACTTTATCATACCCGGGATGTTTACTAGACTCTTGTTTGGACAGATTTAAGTGAGTTATTCCTAAGAATTACAGGCCTACAATATAAAACAACAAATTTCCATGCAAAACAATGTACCGCTTTGACATTCAAAAATATTGACATAATCAGACCACCAGGGAGGTTAAAGGGTAGACAGAATACCTTAGAATGGGGGTGGGAGTAGATTAGTTAGGTTTTGCCTTAACTTCCACTTTCATTTTACTTTTGGTTTCCTGAGTTCTCGTTGATAACCAATGGTAACTATGGACAAATCCTCAAAACTAAGACAGAGTTTGAGAGAAACCATAACTTCCATTTACTGCAAATGAGGATGTGTTTTAGACATGAACTCGTCAGCAGAATAAATTATAGGCATTAACCCTCAAAACACAATATATACAATCTCAAGGAAATGTAAAAACATTTGGAATGACCTGTTTTTCTACATAAAATTGGTCATCAATGTAAGACGGTCTTCATGGAAGTCTCAAGTATAGACAAACACAATCTGCTTCAGCTAATACTGCACAAACAATGATACATTTTCCCGACTTCATTGAACACGCCCACTAAACAGTCCAAGTGCTGGATGAAAAAGTAAGTTACCCCCTGGATTTAATAACGGGTCCAAGCTACTCTGGCAGCATTAATGTCAAACAAGTTCTTCCAGTAGCTATGGATCAGACCTTCATAATGTTCAGGATGAAGTTTGGACCATTCTTCCTCACAGAGCAGCTTTAGCTCAGCCATATTCTTAGGATGTCTGGTGTCAATGGCTCCCTGAAGTCATTCCACAGCATCTCTATTAGATTGAGGTCTGGGCACTGATTGGGACGTTCCAAATGACAGATTTGCAGTATTGCTGAAGTACATTATGTTTGTCTATTTCTGTGACTAAGAAGAAGATCATATCACATTTTATGACCAATTTATATACAAAACCAGGAAATTCCAAATGGTTCATTTCCTTTCCCCGTGACTGTACATAGGTGAGAAGCACATTCTGCTTTGCCATTGCTAGATATAATTAGAGCACCTAAAGTCAGCGATGTGATTAGCCTTGATTAGCTTGATGTGTGAAGATGCAGTTGAACACAGCACCCTAATCATATCTTCTCTGCTTTTTCACAGGTAAATGCTGCTCATCTGCTCTCATCTCCACTTTAAACTATAACTCTAGCAACGCATAGACCTTCTGCAAATCTCAGAACAATTAGTGTATATATTTTGGTCTGTTTGTGGTGATTGATTCTCACCTCCTGTTGCACTTCTTTATGACTCTGGCCTGTGTCTGTGGCTGGTCTGTCTTTGAGAAACATCCCCCCCCCATTCATGTGATCCTTAACACTTCCTAATTGGGGTTGCTCATTTGACCATCTCCCTATAAATTTAGACCAGCTCATGGGGGGAGGTCACAGATGGGGTGCAGTTATCTGCGTGAATGTGTTTAATGCTGGAGTGTGAAGATGCAGTTGAACACAACAGTTTAACTAAAGCAGGATAACCCAAGCAACTGGAAGATACAACAAAGAACTCTACTGCACGCTGGATGGACTGCAAGCACCTTGAGAAACATCTTCTACAAGTCTGATTCCCACTCCATCTACCTTTTAATATGCCCCCTCTACTCCTCCTCTTCATATTACTACCCTGTGTTTCCCAAAATCTAATTTGTTTACCCCTCTGATCCACCTCAAAGCTTATACATCTCACCCTCACTGCCACCATCTCCCTACTACTGCTGTCATCACCTCCTGCTGATACTTTTCTCACCTACTGACCCAAACACCAGGACTTGAAGGCATGTGCGCTCGTATACACCCCACTCCCATCTTACATTCCTTACCCTATATCTTTTCCTAACCTCTGGGGATATCTCCCCAAACCCTGGTACTCCAGTATCTCACCCCCACACCAGGCACCCTCCTTCCTCCGGGAATAGCCGCAATCCCCTCAATTTAATATCAGTCCCCGTGCTCCTAGAAACCACCCTCCCTTTTTCATTTGCACTCTGGAATGCCCGCTCTGTCTGGAATAAGCTCACCTCTGTCCATGACCTTTTTGTCTCCTGCTCCCTTCACCTACTAGCAATTACAGAAACCTGGCTCCAAGCAGCAGATTTTGCTTCTCCCGCAGCACTTTCCTATGGAGGCCTTCTCTGGACCCACTCACCCAGACCCAGTGGTCTGAAAGGAGGTGGAGTTGGTTTGCTTCTATCCCCACTGAGCACCTTTCAAGTCCTCCAGAACTCTCCCTCTCTATCCTTCTCTTCTTTCGAGACTCACTGCATTCAGCTGTTTTCTCCCATTTCTCTGAGGATTGCATTGATTTGCTTGGCTACCCTACTTTCTCTCCTCTTCAACCTAACCTCATCTTTTGCCTTAATGCAATGGGCACAGTCCTCCATTCACTCTGATGGGAATACATTAGACCTTGTTTTCTTTCATTGTTTCACTCCCTACATTCTCACAAACACCCCCTTTCCTCTCTCTGATCACAATCTTATCACCTTCACAGTATCCTCATCTTCAAACACCTATCCCTCCAAGCAGTAAACAATTACCTGCAGAAACCTTCACAACTTGAACCCTGCTCTTTTCTACTCTGCAACTGACCGCCTCTATGACAGAATCTCTCCCTTGTCCTGCCCTGACCTGGCCACTGCTGTCTACAACAGTCTGCTTTCATCTACATTAGACTCACTTGCTCCTCTAACAACATGAAGCATCAGGCCCCGGCCATTACAACCTTGACTGATAACACCAGAAATCTTAAACGACATGAGGTGAGGAGTAGGAAGATAGATTTGTGTATCATCAGCATACTGGAGCGATTGTGGCGTAAAACCAAATCTCACCAAGCTTTCACCCTATATAAATCTGCTTTTTTTAACATATAATTCCTCCCTCCATGCTGCCAAACAAGCCTACTTTGTCACTCTCATAAATACCTTGTCATCCAGTCCTCGTCGTCTCTTCTCCACTTTTAACTCTCTACTTTCTCTACCTCCATCTCCACCCAGTACCTCACTCACTGCTTACAAGATTGCAAATCATTTCAGAAACAAGATTGATGCAATTCGTAGGGGCATCTCCACTGCACAGACATCCATCCCACTTAGCATACCTTATACTAAACCTTCCTCAACACTTTCCTCTTTTGACCTTGCTACTACCGAAGAGGTCACTAAGGTTTTCTCAGAGGCTTATCTCACTACCTGCCCCAGGATCCTGTCCCCTCACAACTACTACGGTCACCCTCTTCCATCCTATGCTCCCTCACTCACATCTTCAATCTCTCCCTCTCTAACGGTGCCTTTTCCTCCCCTCCAAAGCACGCGCACATCACTCCCATACTTAAAAAGCCCTCCCTGGACCCCACTAACCTGAACAACTTAAGAACCATCTCCCTGCTCCCTTTTACCTATAAACTCTTAGCTTAGTCTACAATCGCATGAGCTCCTATCTCACTGACAACAACCTTCTTGACCCTTTACAGTCTGACTTTCGCTCACTACACACCACTGAAACTGCCCTACTAAACCTCACTAATGATCTACTAACTGCTAAAACCAATGGCCACTACTCCGTACTCATCCCAACCAATGACCACTACTCCGTACTCATCCCAACCAATGACCACTACTCCGTACTCATCCCAACCAATGACCACTACTCCGTACTCATCCCAACCAATGACCACTATTCCGTACTCATCCCAACCAATGACCACTATTCCGTACTCATCCCAACCAATGGCCACTACTCCATACTCATCCCAACCAATGACCACTACTCTGTACTCATCCCAACCAATGGCCACTACTCCGTACTCATCCCATCCAATGACCACTACTCCGTACTCTTTATTACTTGACTTCTCTGCAGCTTTTGATACGGTTGATCTTTCCCTCCTCCTCAAAAAACTCCACTCTCTTGGCCTCTGAGACTCTGCTCTCTCCTGGTTCTCCTCCTATCTATTGCAGCGCTCCTTCAGCGTTCCCTATAACTCTGGCTCCTCCTCTCCACTCCCTCTTTCTGTAGGGGTCCCTCAAGGTTCTGTCCTTGGACCCCTTCTCTTCTCCATCTACACCTCCTCCCTTGGTCACTTGATAAACTCCCATGGCTTTAAGTACCATCTCTATGCTGATGACACACAAATCTATCTTCCTACTCCTCACCTCACCCCTTCAGTCTCTTCTCGCATTACTAACCTACTAAGCGACATATCGGCATGGATGTCACTTGACTTCCTCAAACTCAATTTTTCCAAAATGGAGCTCCTAGTATTCCCTCCAGCCCATGTCCCCTCCCCAGACTTCTCCATCAAGATCTATAATACAACCATCAGTCCCTCCCCTCATGCCAGGGTACTAGGTGTAATCCTAGACTCCCATCTGTCCTTTCACTCCAAATCCAATCGCTGTCCAAATCTTGTAGACTTCACCTCCACAACATCTCCAAGATACACCCGTTCCTAACCCCGGAAACCACTAAGTAACTTATCCACTCCCTTGTTATATCTCGCCTTGATTATTACAACTCCCTCCTCATTGGCCGACCTCATCGCAGGCTATCCCCTCTTCAGTCTATCATGTATGCTGCTGCCAAACTCATCCACCTTACTAACCATTCTGTATCTGCCACCCCTCTCTGCCAATCCCTCCAATGACCTCCACTCAGTGTCCTCCACCCCTCTCTGCCAATCCCTCCACTGGCTTCCCATTGCCCAATGGATAAAATTCAAAACATTAACAATAACATATAAAGCCATTTATAACTCTGCCCCAAATTACATCACCGATCTTGTTTCCAAATATCACCCAAACCGTACTCTCCGCTCCTCATATGACCACCTGCTCTCTAGCTCCCTTGTCTCCTCCTCCCATGCCTGTCTCCAGGACTTCTCCAGAGCTTTCCCCATCCTCTGGAACTCTCTTCGCCAATTTATCAGACTATCGCCTACTCTGCTCACTTTTAGGCGATCTCTGAAAACCGATCTCTTCAGGGAAACCTATCCTGCCCTCAGTTAATAATGGAATCTTCCACTCCTCCTACCAGTCCTTCCCCCATAGTTACTACCTTTTGTACCACTAGCCCCTCCCTCTTAGATTGTAAGCTCCAAGGAGCAGGGCCCTCAAATCCCTCTTGTATTGAACTGTATTGTTGCTGTATTGTCTCCCGTTATATTGTAAAGCGCTGAGCAAACTGTTGGCGCTATATAAATCCTGTATAATGAAAATAATAACTAGAAAATCTACAATTTCTGGGGAAATTGTGTGAGGTGTTCTTGCCTGCAGCAGTAGTCTACAACTGGAGTGGGCGGAGTAGCTTTTGTCACTCTGCTGCCTGCTCACACACCTGGTTTCCTAGGTTTCAGAGGAACTTTTATAAACAAACTGCTCCAACTTGCTCACTTCACTGGCGGTTTCCATCTTCAAACGCTTGTAGGTTTAAAACTATAAATCCTACAGTGAAAAGCTTTATATTGTGAGAATCACAAGACCCAGACCTATATTTTGATGCATAGTATGTCTCTGAAATATTAACAATGAAGGCACAGTTGCAGTTTAGAAATTGCCCTTCAAATTTCAGGTGGCTGCGAGTGGAGATTCAATGAATGTCAATGGGCGGCGTGAGTTGCAAACAAATGGTCATATTGTGAAAACTATCAGGACTATGGCTTAGCCGTGGACATTTTTAGTGGCAGCAGGGATAGCTGAACGTTTTAATATAAGATTTGTGTAGGTGGGCTTGAAAATGAGGGAGTGATGGCAGTTTAGAAATCATGTCCTGATTTTTCCTTTCACACTCTAGCTTTGTCAGCTCCCGCTGAAGTTGCTCCATTCATTCCTATGGGACAAATTTCACCACAAAAACGGCGATATTTCGTGAGCCATTCGGCAAAACGTTCCACAAAGTAATAGCAATCCGATTGGGAACAATCCGCACGTTTCAGTATATTACTATCTATGTAGTGTAAAAACTGTGGGAGGAGTTAGGGTGGTAAATTTGGCTATAATAATAAGAATATATATGTGAGATAACAGGAAGTGATCGCCATGGAAGAACACATAACTACTATCGCACACACATGTATTCCCAGCAAAAAACGCCTCTCACCACATCCTATGGGTGTACTGCATGGTAACTGGGTAGAGCAAGATGGCCGCTGCAACCAGAAGTGTGTCACCTCGCACCGGAAATGGCGTACCGACGCGTTGCGTCACGTGGCTCGTTATGTTGGCACGATTTGTATTACTATAGTATGGTAGTATTGCACCAGCGTTAGATTACATTGTTATAGCGCTTCACTATTCACAGATATGTTGAGCACTTATTGGTTTAAGTTGAGTGGCAGCAGCTATAAGTAGATTTCCTATCATCCATTAAAGCGCAGGAGGAGATCGACATTCATTACCTATCTAACCCCAGGTTCACACCCTAAGCATTTTCTGCAGAGTTTTGCAGAAACGCACAGAAGTCCATTTAACCTGATTTCCTATGGGACAGGTTCACATCTCGGCGTTTTCACCCGGTGCGTTTTTTGGAAAGGGTCAGGGACTTTTCTAACACAAAACGTTGCATTTTTGGTTCTATAGACTTCAATGGGAACGCTGCAGAAAAGCTGCATTGTGATTTTTGCTGCATTTTGCATTTTAAATCTGTCTAGCAACAAGCAAAAAAAAAAAAAACAAAAAAACCCACAAAATGCACAAAAACACAAGTGCAAAAAAGCAAAATGCAATGCAGAAACACATCAAACACAACCTGCATAGGTGTGACCCTAGACTAAGAGGGGGATTCCTCTGACCTCGGAGAGATTTCCTTGTGTCTCTGTGAACAGGAAATGAAAATATGTAAAAAGAAAACTGAGCGAGGTTCTAACCCTTCCCTACTCTATCAAAACTAAAACAAAGGAAGGCTTTAGATACATTGTAACCAAAGCCTGAAAATGAACGCTTCAAAATACTAAACCGAACACTTCAAGGATTAAAAAACTTTATTGAAACATGAAAGATGAAAGTTGGACAATAAAATGTACAATAAAATGTCGGCACACAATAATCAAATCCCAGAACATAAAATGGCACAAAAATAGAGACAAGATAAAATGCATAAAAGTGGAATCTAAAACCTTAAAATGCATGGAATATATAAAACAACACATATAAAAGGGTAAAATGACTTCTCAGTAGAATTCCACAGAGACAACCAACAGGTGGATTTTGCTTTTTTTTACCACCCGATGCATTTTTTCTCTTGGCTGCATTAGTTTTCTTTTTTTAGGCTTTTTTTTCCCTCTGTTTTCACCTGGTGATCTGGTCCGCAGGGCTGGGACAAGGGGTGGGTAGGGGGGCGGCTGCCCTGGGCACTGTGATATCATGTGAGGTGGGGGGGGGGGGCACCAAAAAAAGGTTGGGGGTGGGATTTGTGCAAGTAGGGGAATTTTTTTTTTGGGGGGGGGGGATTTGTGCTAGCAGGGATGATTGGGGGGATTGTGCTAGGAGGGGAAATTTGGGTGGATTTGTGTTAGGATGGGGGATTGGGGGAGAATTTTTGCTGGGAGGGGGGGATTTAGAGTGGGGGGAGAGGATTTGTTGCTCAGAAGTGAAATTTGAGGTGAGGGGTAGAGGATTTGTACTAGGAACGGGGGGAATTTTTTTTGGGGGTAGATTTGTGCTGGGGGCATATGAGGAATGAGTGGATTTGAGCTGGGGGGGGGGGGGGGGGGGGCAAATATTTGTGCTGGGAAGGGGATTTCAGCAAGGAGCAGATTTGTACTGGGAGGAGGGGGAATGCTTAGGGGATAAGCAGGCAGATTAGTCCATTTTTTTGTGGGGGAGGGGATTTTTGCTAACACATAATGCTCATACATCTTGGGGGGGGGGGGGGGGGCACAATTCAGCATGTTCACCCTGGGCTCTAGATGATCTTGTCCCGGCACTGCTGGTCAGTAACACACCTCCTGTATTAGATCGCCCCCACTCTGGAGGAAGGAGCACAGGGGGCAGCTTTGGACAGCAGCATTATCTGTCTCTGGGGGGAGGGGAGTGTTAAATGGACTAGCAGATTTAAATACACTAACAAATTGAAGCCAAACTCCAAGCAGTTACACCAAACATGCTTTCCCTTTTAGGATAAAATTTTTACATAAATAAATAAAAGCTGAGTATTGTAATCACCCCTGTCATTGGCAGATGGTTTGTCTCATCCCTGTAACCGCTATATCTGGAAGAGAGCTTGTTCCTTTGAAAAACAACAGACATACTGGCAGGATCACCAGATAAAAATAGAGGAAAGAAAGCCTAAAAAATAAAACTAATGCAGCCGTCACATCTAAGAATTGGTAAGCTGCAATATAACAAATGTTTCCCTTTGGGTTTAATACGGCTTTGAGGTACAGAATGTCCTTCCCTTATAACCACTTTACAGAATAAAATATTTTCACCTTTCTAGATGACTTATTTATAACAGTGAATAACCATCCAGCATAATCTCTGCTGTTCAGCAGTCAGACGGGTAAAAGGGCCATAAAACCGACTCATGATTAAATCTTCAAAGGGGTTGTAAACCCTTACCTATACCCCAGTGCAGTGACTGGCCTCAGGAGATACACAGAGAGGAAACAAATCCTCCTACATAAGTTGTACCTGTGTATCTGCAGCCTTCTCTTCTCTACATCTGTTCAAAGTGCAGAATTTATACAGCTTGTCCAAAAGTTCAGAAAACAGGGGGGCGGGAGCTAAAGTTACATAACCCCCAACCATAGCATAACCCCCAACCTGAACCCCTAAAGCTGACCATACACTATACAATCTGTTTCGGATCTTCCAGCAACTACTGTATGTAATGCGAGGGTCTGCCTGGATACAATATGAGTGGATTGCTCATGTCCGGCTTTATATGACATACTTTTGGTAAATCTAAGGCTGACCACACTCTACACCACCAAATCTCCTTTAGCTTTACCAAAACTATCTCCTATGAAGACAAACTTAAACAATCCTCTGAGTGCCGGTTCACACATATGTGGATTGGATTGGTTTGAACGCATCCAATCCGCATGACATGTGACATAACATTGCTTCCTATGGTGCCTGTCCACATAGGTCCGGTGCACTGGCGGTGAGAAGGAGTCATGTGCGATTTCTGAGCAGTGCGGTCCGGTTCAGGTGCGGATTACAGGCTACTGACTTCTATGGGAACCGTTTGTAAACCGCACATGTGTGAACGGGATAAAATCCTGACCTGAACCTTTCCTGAACCTGATGTAAACCTGATCTGAACCGCTGAACAACTACTGTGCCAATTAGCTGTGAATCCTGAGCTTCAATCCGCACCGCACATGTGTGAATCAGCTCTTTATTGGGTCACATCAGGCAGACCCGTATACTACACAGCTGATGGGAGATCTAAAGGTTATTGTACAATCAGATTGTATAGTGTGTGGTCAGCCTAATGCTAAATAACCCCCCCCCCCCCCCAAAATCTTGCCTTGTTGGGTGTGGAAGTGATGGAGGACACTCTCCTCGGCTGAGATCTACCAGATCTACCGATTGAAGAAATATATTATCTCTACAAACGGTGTCATCCTATGAACCAGATTCACATTTCTCAGCAGATTTCACCAGATTCAGGTCAGATTTCCTGTCATATGATCATTTTACACGTCTCCTGACCCCCCCAGAGATCTTTATACGACCTTTTCCTACCCATAACCCGGCATGGAGGGGCTCAGTGAAGGTGGTGGTGAAGGTGTGGAGGTGTCTGATGGGGTCACACAGATCATAAAAGGACAGCTGCCCGGCCTCATAATCCACATAGATCCTGACTCTATCAGGGGGGGTATCGGGAGATATGAGGATTGTTTTATTATCATGTAATAGATACACACTCACTGTTATACTTCCACAAACTCCAGGACTTGTTATTACATCCAATCCCTGACTGCCTCCTCTCCTCTCTATACTGGGATAACACATCCCGACTCCGCAATCTTCCCCCTCACTGACATCCACTTCCCAGTAATGTCGCCCCGAGGAAAAACTCTGACTGCTTAATACCTGGCCCAGTACTGAAATCTCTCTGGTGTTTCTGGACGATTCTGCTCTATATCTGACCAGGATGCAGTTTTCATGTCATCTGATATCTGTAGATTATTATGAGCTGTGTTCACATCCAGTAATAAGTCTGAAGCTTCCTGTATATTGAAGCATACATTTCCCCCTTTTATCATATCAGATATCCCTGTGTGTAATGTGTGTGAGATTCCAGCCCCATCCAGATCCCCTCCATCATGGAGGAGTCTATCATGTCTCTCTCTGTCCTCATCATCTCCCTCCTCAGTATCACACAAGTCCCCTGTGTCTGATTCCTGGAGGACAGTCAGGGGGTCGGTCATGTTACACAGCTCCTCAATGTCCCCCATCTTCCTGGACAGATCCTTCTTCTTTATCTCCAGTTGATGGATCATCTCAGACAATGGACATGAAAGCCGCTCTTCCTGGCTGGCGATCTCCCTCAGGACTCTCTTCTCCAGGTCCTCCAGTTGTCTCCTGAGCTCTATGAACAGGGCAGTGACTCTCTCTGTTAGGATGAGAGAAGGAGAAGAAGCGCCTCTAAGTGCAGCATAACACTTTAATGAAGATGAGAAGTAGGAACCCTCCCATGTATGAGGTACAAGTAATGCATGAAATAAAGTGGTGTGGTGTAACATGGGACAGGAGGGGGTTGTCATCGGTGTCACTGAGCTGTCATCGGTAACAATGTGTCAGCGTTCCGCTGGAGCAGCGTGGTGGCTGGAGGGGGACAGCTGTGGAGCCGGCCGGCGTGCACGTCCTCCTCAAAGCCGGGTGGAACGCACGCTGGAACGCAGCGATGACGTGGGCGTGATGACGTCAGTTACCCAAGGTGCACTGCGACGCGTTTCGGAGCATGCGCTGGCCTGGAGAGGCGGAAGTGCGCTCCTTTATCAAGCCGGGGGAAGTGGGAGTCCGATAGTTGTATATATACGGAGTTAATCCTCAGAGGGGCTGATTGGCAATTAATTAACCAATTGTTTCAGCAATAATGTGATTCTACCATTGTTGTTGTAAGGTGACACTGTGTGGTTAAAAGAGTACGGGAAGAGAATTAAAATTGTAAATGGATGAAAAAATAAGAAGTTATTATTATAATGAAAATAAAATGGTATGGGAAAAAATGAAACGGGAAAATGGAAAATAGAGGAAATGAAAAGAAAAAGGAAAAAGGAAAAAAAAACACATTTGGTATCAATATTTATAAAATGTGAATAAAAATAGAAATGGTCAAAATGAAAAATAATAATGTAAAATCAAATGTAATTATATATATGTAAAAAATAAATAAATATATAAAATGTTTATATATATATAAAATATATATATATATATATACAAAAAAATATAAAAAAAATATAAAATAAAAAAAAATAAAAAAAAAAAAAAAAATAAAAATGAAAAATATATACATTGGGAAATTAAAAAATAAAAATGTAAAAAAAAAAAAACTGAAAAATTGCAAAATTTAAAAATAATCAATTAAATATAAAATGAAAAATAAAAAATAAGTAATAAATAAAAATAAAAAAAAAAAAATAAAAAATAAAAAACAAAAAATAAAATAAAAAATTAAAAATTAATTGAAAATTAAAAAATAAGAATTAAAATTAAAAAAATATATATATATAAAATTAGATATGTTGCACACAATGGTGTATGCTTGGTGAGATGGCTCATAAATTTAGCTAGTGGCATAGGATGTGAAGACACTTGCAACAGTGGTATATAAAATAATTAGGTGAGTAAAAATGCAGTATAACCATGGTAATGGTAATGATGATAATCAAATACTGTAGAATAATGACAATATTACAAATATAAAAAAAAAAAAAAGTATTATATTATTATTACACAGGATTTATATAGCGCCAACAGTTTGCTCATCGCTTTACAATATAAAGGGAGACAATACAGCAACAATACAGTTCAATACAAGAGGGATTTGAGGGCCCTGCTCCTTGGATCTTACAATCTAGGAGGGAGGGGTTAGTGGTACAAAAGGTAGTAACTGTGGGGGATGGACTGGTTGGAAGAGTAGAAGATTCCAGTATTAGCTGAGGGCAGGTAGGCTTCCCTGAAGAGATAGGTTTTCAGAGATCGCCTAAAAGTGAGCAGAGTAGGCGATAGTCTGATAAATTGGGGTAGAGAGTTCCAGAGGATGGGGGAAATCCAGAGAAGTCCTGGAGACCCGCATGGGAGGAGGAAACAAGGCAGCTAGAGAGTAGGTCTGGCGCCAGGAGTGGAGAGCACGGTTTGGGTGATATTTAGAGACAAGATGGTGATGCATTTGGGGCAGAGTCTAATGGCTTTATACATTATTGTTATGTTTTGAATTTTATCCAGGGCAATGGAGCCAGTGGAGGGATTGGCAGAGAGGGGTATTAACGGACCACCCCACAGGACAGCAAGCAGTCCCTCAGGATAGAGGCCTCTCCAGAGAGGGGTCTAAGTTCCCACTTCTGGCAGCTCACCAGGGGCAGCTGTGATGGTGGGGATGGACTTGGAGCCATGGCTTTAAGCTCCGGGACCAGGTCGCAGCTACCGGATACTCTATCAGTGGAGGTCAGAGGAGGGATCTGCTGGAGGCCCTGCAGGGTGAGAGTCTGATGTGAGGGGACCCGGGATCCCTGAGGGTGGATGGATGGATGGAGGAATGAGCAAGGGAGAGTCAATACCCAGAGTGCGGTAGCCGGGGGGTCGGTGGGACAAAACAGTAGGCAAAGATGGTCGGGTCCACGGAGGGTCAATAACAGGAGATCAAATCAGGGGATCCAGGAGCAGAGTCAGGCAAGAGGGGTGGACAGGAGAAGACAAGCTAGGTCAGATAATCCGGATCTTCAAAAAGTACTCCCACACAGAGTGCAGGCAGTGCAGAGAGACCATTCGGCAGAAGTGTCTGTGCAGGGCTGAAAGTAGCCCGCCCTGCAGGCCAGGTGGAGGGATTGGTCCTAATGCCTGCCCAGTACTGTCATAGACGACGGGTTAGCGCCTGGGTCCTAGCACTGCTGCCTGCATGTCTTGACAGACACCTCATGTGTGAAGAGCATGAAACCGATGCGATGCGATGGTCCCCAACAGGGGTGGAGGACAATGAGGCCAGTGGAGGGATTGGCAGAGGGAGGGGTGGATACACTGAGTGGCTTAGTGGAACAGGGATTTCCTCCTTGGAGGACACTGAGTGGAGGTCAGTGGAGGGATTGGCAGAGAGGGGTGGAGGACACCCTGAGTGGAGGTCAGTGGAGGGATTGGCAGAGGGGGTGGAGGACACTGATGGAGGTCAGTGGAGGGATTGGCAAACCCTAGTGGAGGACACTGAGTGGAGGTCAGATGGACTGATTGGCAGAGAGGGGTGGAGGACACTGAACTGGAGGTCAGATGGAGAAGTCCAGAGAGGGAGGGGGCACTGGGAGGCTGGAGGGATTGGCAGAGAGGGGTGGCAGATACAGAACGGTTAGTAAGGTGGATGAGTCTGGCAGCAGCATTCATTATAGACTGAAGAGGGGATAGCCTGCGATTAGGTCGGCCAGTGAGGAGGGAGTTACAATAGTCAAGAGTGAGATATAACAAGGGAGTGGATAAGTTGCTTTGGTGGTTTCCGAGGTTAGGAACGGGCGTATCTTTGGAGATGTTGCGGAGGTGAAGTCTCCAAGATTTGGACAGTGATTGGATTTGGGGCTGGAAGGACAGATGGGAGTCCAGGATTACACCTAATACCCTGGCAGGGGAGGACTGATGATTGTTACTGATTTTGATGGAGAAGTCCCTCACGGGCTGGAGGGAATACTAAGAGCTCCCTTTTGGAAAGATTGAGTTTTCTGGAAGTGGAGTGACATCCATTCACCGATATGTCACTTAGTAGGTAAAAATAATGCGAGAGGCCAGACAAAAGGGGTGAGGTGAGGGGTAGAAAGATAGATTTGCGTGTCCTCAGCATAGAGATGGTACTTAAAGCCATGGGAGTTTATCAAGTGACCAAGGGAGGAGAGTTGTAGATGGAGAAGAGAGAGGACTTGGACAGAACCTTGAGGGACCCCTACAGAAAGAGGGAGTGAAGAGGAGGAGGCCCACTTTATATAGGTAACACTGAAGGAGCGCTGCGATAGGTAGGAGGAGAACCAGGAGAGAGCAGAGTCCTCTGAGGCCAAGAGAGTGAGTTTTTTGAGGAGGAGGGGATGTTCATCCATTTCAAAAGCCACAGAGAGGTCAAGTAGTAAGAGTACGGTCATTGGTAGTGGGAGTAGGTTGGTTGGGATGAGTACGGTAGTGGTCCATTGGTTGGGATGAGTACGGTAGTGTAGTGGTCCATTGGTTTGGGATGAGTACGGAGTAGTGGTCCCCTGGTTGGGATGAGTAGTGGTCCATTGGTTGGGATGAGTACGAGTAGTGGTCATTGGTAGGGATGAGACAGAGTAGTGGTCATTGGTTGGGATGAGTATTAGTGGCCATTGGTTTTAGCAGTTAGTAGATCATTAGAGAGTTCACAGTGGAGTGTAATGAGCGAAAGCCAGACTGTAAAGGGTCAAGAAGGTTGTTGTCGGTGAGGTGGGAGCTCAGGCGATTGTAGACTAAGTGTTCTAGGAGTTTAGAGGTAAATGGCAGCAGGGAGATGGGTCTTAGGTTGTTCAGGTTGGTGGGGTCCAGGGAGGGCTTTTTAAGTATGGGAGTGATGTGCGCATGCTTTAGAGGGGAGGGGAAGGCACCAGTAGAGAGGGAAAGATTGAAGATGTGAGTGAGGGAGCATAGGATGGAAGAGGAGGGTGACCGTAGTAGTTGTGAGGGGACAGGATCCAGGGGGCAGGTAGTGAGATGGGCTTCTGAGAAAACCTTAGTGACCTCTTCAGTAGTAGCAAGGTCAAAAGAGGAAAGTGTTGAGGGAGGTTTAGTATAAGGTATGCTAAGTGGGATGGATGTCTGTGCAGTGGCGATGCCCCTAGAATTGCTCAATCTTGTTTTTGAAATGATTTGCAATCTCATGAGCAGTGTGAGGTACTGGGTGGGGGTGGAGAGGAGAAAGTAGAGCGTTAAAAAGTAGAGAAGAGGAGACTGGACTATTAATAAGAATAATAAAGGTATAATAAATAATATATATATATATATATATAAATGTAGGTACGGGGAATGGAATTATTAATTATTTATGAAGCAGCGGGGGGATGATGCATAGATATGATCACGATGTTGTGGTAGAGGGACCATATAATCTGGGACGGAGTTGGGAAAATTCAAATATCGGAAAAAAAAAATAATAAAAAAAAAAAATAGAAAAATTAGAATATAAATAAAAAAAATATAAAATAAAAAATTGTTAGACCTGTTAGACCAGCTGATTTTTCTTGTACTTTTCCCTTACGTTCCTGCAGACTCTGGACTCTTTTCTCCGTCTTCTCTGTCTCTGTCATCAGTTTCTGCAGAACGTTTCTCAGTTTCTGTTTCTTCTTCTCAGAAGCCTCATCCAGAGTCTCCACCTTGTGTCCCTGGTGTTCTCCAGCCAAACTGCAGGACACACAGATACAGGCGGCATCTGCAGCACAGTAATATTTAAGAAGCTCCCTATGGATGGCCATTTTCTGTTCTCCATGGAAGTGGTGGGGTCAGTTAGGACATGTTCTGGTGACTTGCTGTGGATTCTCAGGTGATTATCACACAGAGAAGCTTCACAATGCAGACAGGATCTAACAGCGGGTACAGGAGAGTGAATGCAGTAAGTACAGAAGATTCCAGTCTTCTTCTCATCTGGCTGAGTAGACCGGAAGGTCTCCACTATGTTACGTAGTGTGATGTTCCTGTGCAATGCAGGCCGATCCTGGAACTCTTCTCTGCACTGAGGACAGGAATAACCTCCAGACCCCTCCTGTGTATCCAACGATCGATCAATACAGACCCGGCAGAAGTTGTGTCCACATCTCAGCATTACAGGATCGGTATAAATGTTCAGACAGATGGAACAGTCCAGCTCCTCTCAGATCAGCAGACGCCATCGCTGACAGCAGAAGAGAGAAATGAAAGTGAAAGTCTCCGACACGGAAAATCTAAAGGTCGTCTCACATTTTCAGCACAGGGCGGGGCTGAGCTGGTGTTGCAGTTTTATCTTCAGGAAGTTTGTGGATAAAGCAAATGTTTATAAATTAAAAGGATATATATTCCGACATTTGTGAACTGATCTGTTTTTTTTATACGTCATTTTGATTATAAATAGTAAATTGCATCTGCAGACAAGACATAAAACTGGGTTATATACCGCAGCGTGAAATGCTATTGGCAGGTTTCTGTTTGTTGTATTTTGTGGTTAAGGCTGAGTTCACACACAAACGCACAGGAATCGCTGCATTTCCCCACCACATAGCAATCCCACTGTGTTCATGCCATCTGCTGCAGGTGTCAACTAAAAGTTAAAGCGGAGCTCCACCCAAAAGGGGAAGTTCCGCTTTAAGCCTTTGTCCCTCGTTCCCCATTAAGGATTGGCACCTTTGGGGAGCGGGGGGGGGGAGCGGGTACCCGAAATTGACATGTACCCGCTCCCACTTCAGCTGCGATGCGATCACTAGGCATTCGCAGAAGCAGAAGTTGTTCTCCACCCCCCCTCTCTCTCCCCGAGAGAAGAAAAGCAGCCGTGGGAGGACACACGCTGGACCTAAAGGACAGGTAAGTGTCTGTATTTTATAGGTCAGAAGCTCCAGTTTTTGTATTTGCTGACTTTTATTTTTTTTTTTCAGCTGGAACTCCGCTTTAACAACACCCCAAAAGCAGGTTGCAGAACATGTTGCATTTGCTTGAATCAGATCACATGGGTATGAACCATGGCCGGATCTAGGGGGGTGCTGGGGTGGGCTATGCCCCCCCCCCCAGATTGCAGCTGCGCCCACCCAGGCAACCCCCCATGAATACTGTGCCCAAGCAGGGTTGCCAAACCGTTGGTCAGGGAAGCAATCTGTAGGGGCGGCTGGCTGCATCTGCCAAGTCTCTGTGTCCCAGACTCCAGGTAACGAGCTCTCCCCCCCCCCCCTCTGCATAGACAGGAGAGGAGACAGGACTTGATCTGTTCCAGCTGATCCCGCCCCTCTCCTCCCCCGGTCTGCCCCGCCCACACAAGGCTAGTGCGGTGCCTCAGAAAGGGAATGTGGGCGGGAGATATGAAATCCAGCCCCTGGAAGCTCCACCCTCTCTGCATGATGGATGACGTTGCCTGAGTCTTCAGATCCCAGCTTGGGGTGTGTGAGCCCTGCTCTATGACTGACCTGTCCCCATCTTCCTCCCTTCTCCCCCCCCCTCCCTGTTCTAGAAGGTTTTGCAGACATGATTTCATGTCTAGGGACACCTGAAGTACTATTGCGGATGGCTGACCGACTACTAGTTGGAGAAACTGAGAGATATTTAACTCCAAGTCTGCCATGCTTCTGTTTAACCCCCTCCTGCCCACAATCCCTTTAAGAGCTCCTTCACACTAGCTTTGGTCTCTGAAGAGCAATCTGTGTTCTGATCACTCTTCAGAGAGCATTTGGCAGGCAGCAAGGAGGTGTTGTATCTCCTCCTCACCACCTTCTTTAACCCCTCACCCTCCTGAGGATTCCCCCCCCCCCCTGACCAGGCTATTTTTTGTGTTACGGCTTTGTGTTATTTTAACTGACAATTGCGCAGTCATGCAACGCTGCACCCAAATTAAATTTACGTCTTTTTTCCCAGAAATAGAGCTTTCTTTTGGTGGTATTTGATCGCCTGTGCATTTTTTTTTTTTGCACTATACACAAAAACAGATCTGAAAATTTTGAGAAACAAAACTTTTTTTTTTACTTTTTGCTATTAAACATGTCCAGTAAAAAAATTAAAAAAATCAAATTTCATCATAAATTTTTGGCCAAAATGTATTCTGTGACATTTCTTTGCTAAAAATTTTTTTTTACTAGTAATGGCGGCGATCAGCGACTTATAGCGGGACTGCGGTGGGCATTCTGACACTGGAGGGGAGCTGACTAACTGCCATTGACACCCCACACCAATACAGTGATCAGTGCTAATAAAAAGCACTGAGGCTGTACTAATGGCACTGGCAGGAAGGGGTTAACATGAGGTGGATCAAAGGGTTAACTGTGTGCTGGGTGAAAACAACCGAATGCAGTGAGTCTGGAAAGTCTGGAAAGAAGAGAAGAAGAGATAGAGAAGGAGGGTTATGGAGGACTTCAAAGGTGCTGAGTGGGGATAGATGCAAACCAACCCCACCACCTTTCCAACCACTGGGTCTGGGTGAGTGGGTCCAGAGATGAGGCCTCCATAGGAAAGTGCTGAGGGAGAAGAAGAATCTGCTGCTTGGAGCCAGGTTTCTGTAATTGCTAGTAGGTGAAGGGAGCGGGAGACAAAAAGGTCATGGACAGAGGTGAGCTTATTCCAGACAGAGCGGGCATTCCAGAGCGCACATGAAAAAGGGAGGGTGGTTTCTAGGAGCACGGGGACTGATATTAAATTGAAGGGATTGCGGCTATTCCCGGAGGAAGGAGGGTGCCTGGTGTGGGGGTGAGATACTGGAGGACCAGGGTTTGGGGAGATATCTCCAGAGGTTAGGAGAAGGAAGGTGAGGAAAGTAAGATGGGA